ATCCCAGTTGAATTACCCTTGCATATCAAACCGTATGCACCACCCAGGGTAGCATGATTTAGGTTGCAGATAGTTCAGTGCTTTCTGGTGTTTGATTTGGAATTGGAATTGAACATGGCGTGCCACCACTCTTAGGGCACAAAGCGGTAAAACATGACCCGTGTCTTAAACGACAGCCGTGACAATCCTCCTCCCCCGGGAGGTCTGCAGAGACCTCTGGAGGCCTCCGGAGGCCGAGAGCCTCGCTCCTCGCTCCTCCAGGAGGCCGAACCCGCCTGCCGAGCAAGTAACACAGGAGAGGGGAACAGAAGCGGGCCTCACGCGAGAAGCCATCGCGACCTGGCGCGACGACTGACGCGGGCCACCGGCGCAGCTCGCTGCATTGGAAACAGAGGCGCTCATGCGCCACTTTACTGGCCATCGCTCGGACGTCCATTCCCTGTGATTTTTTTTGCGTGTTTCGTGCGTGGTTTTTTCGCCCAATGATCAAGGATGCTCCTCGATGGTCCTCGCCGAAGGAAAAATGCACACGTCCGAGCGAGGCCAAGTTTACGCCAGCAGCCCGCGCGCCAGCGTCGGCGCAAAAAACGAACCCGTTGCTCGCCGCAGCGCCCGGCGGCCCGAGGCGTGGGGGAGGCGCCGCTTCGCGCCCCCTGGGCGTCCTCTTCGGGGCTGGCCGGGGGGCCTCCGCCCGCACGACTGCCACCTGAGGGGGGGGGGGGGGAGGTAAGAAGGGAAGAGGAGCGGAGGAGGCAAGGGGTTGAGGGAAGAGGAGGAGGACTAGGGGGAGGGGGAGGGGGAGGAGGAGGAGCAGGAGAAGAGGAGGAGAAGCAGGAGGAGGAGGAGGACGACGACGACGAAGGAGGGGGTGGAGAGGGGGGGAGGGGAGGAAGAGAAGGGTGGACGAGAGAGGGGAATGGGAGAGGAAGGCAGATGTTGTTGGCCACGTCTGGCTAGTCTCGCTAATTGGCTGTGGTAGGGTACGTCCCGAGTTGCTCTCACCGATGTCTATTGCCAGCCCTGCCGCTCTTCGCTGGATTTGGTTGAACTGCAGACGCGAGGGACAACTCTTCGATCGCAACATACAGTTCCTGCTGGCAGAGACTGTCGGTGAGCAGGAGTTCGATCATTCTCAAGTCCAGGGACACTGTGGCTGCACGCTCGAGTTTTTCCCTACGTCAACAACTTCATCCGTGGCTTCTGTCCATGCTGTTTATCCATCGTGGCCAGGCCCGATCAGGAATCGGTGCCTCCATATCCTCTCCCCATCATGCTGTTTCTTCCGACAAGGCCCGGTAGAACACCACAAAGCGCTCGGCCCTGCCCTTCTCCACCCGCGGACACCGCGTCAGCTTCTCGCGGCCGGTGCCTCCTGCCGATTCCTGCCCTCCCGCGCGGGCGGCGAGAGAAACATGCGTGGGTCCTGGTGTCCAAAGCGAGGCCAATGGGGAGGGCGCCTCTGTGCCCCCCAGTTGTAACACTTTGGCAACACAGTTCCCTGGAATTCGCAGTACAACGTATTGCCTCACGGTATCTAGCGCAGCCGTCCCGGGGCAGGGCGTTGTGGTGTTTGCTGCTGCTCTCTCCATTCGGGGCTTTGAGGTGTCGGGCCTGTGTGGTGGGCCGTCGCTATCGAAAGCTCGCCTCCACTCCAGTGCTTCCAGAAGGCTATCCTTAAGTCGGGCCTGTCCCCCTACAGGGGGCTTTTCGACGAGAAATAAAAACATACCCCCAAAACACCCCAAGAAGGCCAACAAATACTCAACAAAATAGTCCCCAGACTATTGTTGGACTACTTGTTGACTATTGTTTGGGGTATCTTTAATTCTTCGTCGAAACTCCCCCTGTGGAGGGACACGCCCGACTTAAGGCTATCCCACTTCCATGCTCAAGGCAACCGACGAGGCTCCCCACGAGGTGGGATCCGTTGCTCTCGGTGCCTCTCCGCCTGCTCCTCTATGTCAGCGGCACTGGCTTCAGGTCGGGCCCGTCCCCCTACAGGGGGATATTGGACGACAAATTTCTAATACCCCCCAAAAAATTGAAAAACGTTCAAAAATCGAAAAATCGTCCCCAGACTATTTTTCACTATTTCTTTGAACATCCCTCCTGTAGAGGGACAGGCCCGACTTAAGACTCGCTGTTGGCGTCGCGCCCCCCCCCTCGCCCCCCCCCCCCCCCACACACACACACTCACACACACACACATACACTCGCACACACGCACACACGCACACACGCACACACGCACACACGCACACACGCACACACGCACACACGCACACACGCACACACGCACACACGCACACACACACACACGCACACTCACACACGCACACACACACACACACAACGCGGGTCCGTGCATCCTCCTGCCCATGCCAGAGATGTTTCGGTCGCCGCACCTGGCTACCGTCGGCCCGGTGAGGGCATTGACTCAGGGCAAAGATGGCAGGCCTAGAGGTTGACACCAATACAAATATCGGCCTTGTGCCTCCACCGGCGGAAGAAGATCCGGATCTCGGCGATGGTGGTAATATTCTGGCTTCCAAGGTGACCAAACTATTACCACAAAAACCGGAATCTAGGATCATCTTCACCCTGTGGAGGCAACCCCCTGTGTTGGTGTTGGTGCCCATTTCCAGGCCTCCAAAAGGAGAAATCTGCACGGAGCTCCGAAAGATTACGTCTGTGGGCAGTTTTTCTTCCTTCCACCTCCTCCCACCTCCGCCTCCCAAGCTCCAGACGAGCACGCCAGCAGGAATCCGGGGCCCGAAAGCCAGCGGATTACAAGCTAAGGTTTGGCCACGGATCTCACTGCCGGCCTGATCAGACGAGGAACCCTCCGAGGTTTGGAGCATCCTGGGCAATTTGTTAAAGAGAAAGCCTCCACCGTAGAGTACCGGGACAAGGCGGTTTCAGAAGACGACGCAACCTGTGCGCGATTCCGCCTTTGTCATCAGCGCCTGCCGCTCTTCCCTGAACATGGGCGCTGGGTGTGCGCATTCTACGCAGTGCTACCTCAAGGAGCCTCCTGAGCGTCAAGATCGTGCACCACAATCCCTCGTGATCGATTGTCCCTTCTCCCCTCCGAACTGAATCCCGAAATGGTACGTGGGGTGCACTTTCTGGGCCGCCTCAGGTCCTGTCCCCCAGTGGGTCCCAGTTAGGGCGACGATATCCCAGCGCCGTAGATCATCGCCGATCTCCGTGAGTCTCTCTCCTACATCCTGGCCTCCAGTGTGCTGCAGTATACGGTTCGCACCCAGAACACGACGTGACAGAGTACGGTCAGGAACTTTTGCTTAGGGTGACGTGGAGGCGGCGGCCCCAGCGACACGCTATGCCATGCGAGCGGATAGCGTGTCGCTCCGCTCCGCGGGGCGGGAGGCTGGGAAGAGCTCGAGACGTTGACAGTTGGGGACCGGGACGCGCATAGCCTGCTGCGCCGAAGCGTGGTCGGCCAGAACCGGCGGTGCGACACGCTAAGCCAAAATCCCTGACCGTCACGTCCCAGTGAGGCAGTTCATCGCTGATCTCTTCGAGTCTCTCCTGTGTGCTGGCTGCCACTGAGGAGGCAGGGGCGGATGGGAGGGGATGGGGACGGGGGAGGGAATGAGGAGGAAACGGTGGTGGAGCGGGAGAGGGACGAACACGCCCTGCGTAGTGGTCGCCACCTGGTCGTGCATCGTGACCTTGCCAGCCCGACGCTCGTCGATTCCGCAGCCTCTCGCGGCAGATCCTCCTCCCCCTTCTCCTGACGCTGACTATCTCCCTCTCATCCTGCTTCGTTCCCCCTCACTCCCATCTTGACTTTTCGCCTCCTACCACTCCTGCTGCTCCTCCCACGCCTTCACCTTCCCGTCCTTCTCCTCCACGCTTGGCGGCGCGCCCAAGGGGGCAGGGGGAGGGGGGGGAAGGCCTCTTAACTTGAGGCTGCGTCTTAGAAGGCATCAGCCTTACATCTATACGCAAGGCCCGCGCCTTCCAATAAGCAGGGTGCTTCTAAGAAGCCTTCCCCCCTCCCCCTACTCCTCTGGATGCGTGTGGCAGACATGTCTTCTCCCACCCCTCTTTCTGCCACTCCTCCTGCTGCTGCTGCTCTTTCTTCCTCTCCCCTCCCGCCGTTTCTCTTCCTCCTCCAGATCCTTAATCGTTCTCCTCGTCCCCGTCACCCTCCTCGTTCTCGCCCTCCTCCTCGCCGTTCGTCCCCAAGCTGGCCCCAAACTGCCAGATCAACTTCAAACCCTTCCCCTCCTGTCCTCCCCCAACCCCTGCCGACACCTATCTCAGATAGCAGCAGCATCCTCCTGCTCGTGCTCCAGCTACTCTTCCTTCATTTCCTCCTCCTTGCTCTCCATCCCCGAACCTGCTAGATCCTTCCAAATCATGATGACAGGAACACACGATCTCAAACATCTAGGGCGGAAGAACGGGGACATTCAAAGCGAATTAACCTGGCCAAGACCCAACCATATGCAATTGTGAGTGCCGCCCTTGTGATTACCGTCTTCGGTGGAGCTCCCTGTGGGGCCACGAACCTTTTGAGGGGTGCGCCGAAATGAGGGTTGAACTGCATGCGAACGCTGCCACTGGGGCCTTCGGTGGAGCTCCCCATGGAGCCACGAACCCTGTGAGGGGTGCGCCGAAATGAGGGTGGAAGTGCATGCGAACGCTGCCACTGGGGCCTTCGGTGGAGCTCCCTGTGGGGCCACGAACCCTGTGAGGGGTGCGCCGACATGAGGGTGGAACTGCATGCGAACGCTGCCATTGGGGCCTTCGGTGGAGCTCCCTAAGGGGCCACGAACCCTGTGAGGGGTGCGCCGAAATGAAGGTGGAACTGCATGCGAACGCTGCCACTGGGGCCTTCGGTGGAGCTCCCTATGGGGCCACGAACCCTGTAAGAGGTTCGCCGAAATGAGGGTGGAACTGCATGCGAACGTTGCCACTGGGGCCTTCGGTGGAGCTCCCCATGGGGCCACGAACCCTGTGAGGGGTGCGCAGAAATGAGGGTGGAACTGCATGCGAACGCTGCCACTGGGGCCTTCGGTGGAAGCAAAAAGGTACAAAAAAAAATTACGAAGACAAAAAAAAGAAAACAAAAAAGAAAAATAAGGAAAAAAAAAAAAAAAAAAAAAAACAAAATAAAAAACAAATAAAACAGCACCGCGGCTATCACCAAATAAAGAAAAAACAAAATAAAGTAAGAAAAACGAAGAAAAACCAAGTAGCAACAAAGCAAACCAGAAAAAATAAAAGAAAAAGCAGAGAAGATCAACTAAGAACAAAAAAAGTTAATGAGATAAAAAAAAGGAACGCCAATACACCAACGTAGCAACCGGGGCCATGAACCCTGTGAGGGGTGCGCCGACGTGAGAGTGGAACCGCATGCGAACGCTGGCACTGGGGCCTTCGGTGGAGCTCCCTATGGGGCCACGAACCCTGTGAGGGGTGCGCCGAAATGAGGGTGAAACTGCATGCGGACGCTGCCACTGGGGCCTGCAGTGAAGCTCCCTGTGGGGCCACGAACCCTGTGAGGGGTGCGCCGAAATGAGTTGCATGTGAAGGCTGCCACTGGGGCCTTCGGTGGAGCTCCCTAAGGGGCCACGAACCCTGTGAGGGGTGCGCCGAAATGAGGGTGGAAGTGCATGCGAACGCTGCAACTGGGGCCTTCGGTGGAGCTCCCCAAGGGGCCACGAACCCTGTGAGGGGTGCGCCGAAATGAGGGTGGGACTGCATGCGAACGCTGCCACTGGGGCCTGCAGTGGAGCTCCCTATGGGGCCACGAACCTTTTAAGGGGTGCGCCAGAATGAGAATGGAACTGCATGCGAACGCTGCCACTGGGGCCTTCGGTGGAGCTCCCTGTGGGGCCACGAACCTTGTGAAGGGTGCGCCGAAATGAGGGTGGAATTGCATGCGAACGCTGCCACTGGGGCCTTCGGTGGAGCTCCCCATGGGGCCACGAACTCTGTGAGGGGTGTGCCGAAACAGAGACATGCAAGGGGCAGAGGCAAGGATGGTGAGGAGGAGGAGGAGGAGGAGGAGGAGGAGGAGCAGGAGGGGAGGCAGCGGGAGGAGACGGAAGGAGGACGCGGGCGCTGTCTCTTCAAAACGAGGACCCAACACCACAGGATGGTTGGGAAAAACACTTGCTGGGCCCTCGTGCGAGTTATCGGACGCCGAGGATGGGTCCCGTGTGAGCAGGGACCCCCATCCAACAACACACACACACACACACCCATAGCTCCCTTTCGCATAGGTATGGGTGCGAGCTGTCAACTCATCAAAATCATCCGAACACCTAACAAACTCCTCCTCCTACCCATTCACTTCTTATTCTGATTTTTAGTAGTATCCTTCTTCTTCTTATTAGGTTTCTTCTTCTGATCCCCTCATCCGACGATTGCCGCGACGTCGACCCCTCAGAGTCACCCGCCCCCTTCACCTCTTCAAGGGCGCGTCTTGACCAGAACTTCGAGGTGACTCCAGCCGTGGCCACGAGGCGTCTCCCAACATCGAGGAGGCACACACAGCACGGCAACTTATGTCGCTTATGCGAAAGACCGTAGATGCATGGGAGCTTCGGGGGGAACGAAAGGGAGGGATAGCAAAGGGTAGGGTAGACAATTAGCTCACATAGCTGACTTCCCCAGCGCCTCCCCGCGCTGGGAGGCGCCCATGTATCGAGGGAATGGGTCCGTGCAAATTTCGTAATCCCCCCTTTCCCTATCCCCCCCTTTGGTTCGGCCCGGGAGCTGCAACGCAACTCAACAAGTTCGAGCCGTACAACGCGAAGCTGCCACAATACAAATGCTCCATCAGTTCCAACTGACAATGTGATTCTTGAAGCCCGGAGCACATCGTGTGTTTGAGAAGTCTTGAAACAACTCATGAGCGTTTTGAACCATTAGCGGCGGACCTTCGAGCTTTCATGCTTACGCAGCTCATTCTTCGATACCGGAGGCGACGACGACGACGACGATTGCGGCGGCTGCGACGGCGGCGGCGACGACGACGACGACGGCGGCGACGACGACGACGGCGACGACAACCGCCGCGTCGTCGACCCCAGCGGCCTCGCGCCACGTCCTGGAGCCACGAGCGCATCGGCGAGGCGGCGCCCGCGACGATGGAGAGGGCGCCGGGCCGAAGGAGCGAAGAGCGTGGCACAGACATATATATATATATAGAGAGAGAGAGAGAGAGAGAGAGAGAGAAAGAGAGAGACTTCCTCGGGCACGCGCTGGCACGGGTGGAGGAGGAGGGGGAGGAGGAGGTGGAGGAGGGGGAGGGAGGAGGGGGAGGAGGAGGAGGAGGAGGAGGAGGAGGAGGAGGAGGAGGGGAGGAGGAGGGAGGAGGGGGGGAAGGAGGAGGGGGAGGAGGAGGAGGAGGAGAGGAGGGGAGGAGGGAGGAGGAGGAGGAGGAGTAGGATCCGCGGGTCGGACGCGTGGGCTTAAGTCGGGCGTGTCCCCCTACAGGGAGATTTCCGACGAGAAATAAGACATACCCCATAGTCAAAACATAGTCTAACAATATCTGGGGACTATTTTTGTTAATATTTGTTGGCACTTTTGGGGTTGTTTTGGGATATTCTTTATTTTTCGTACAAAATCCCCATGTAAGGGGACACGCCCGACTTAAGCGTGGGCGCCAGACCCACAGATCGGGGAAGCTCCCCCGCGGAGCGCGAGGCCAGCGCCGACCGAGCCGACAACGGAGAGCGCCAGACTCTGTACGGAGGCGGGGCGCGGCGTCGCCCATCCACGCGTCGACAATCCACGCTTGCGTTGGGTCGGGCCTGTCCCCCTACAGGCCGATTTTGGACGAAGAGTTACAGTCGAGGCGTTGACCTAAGGAACCCTAAATAAGGAACGAGGTCCCTATTTTCCATAAGTTGAACTTCGATGTCGTATCGAAAGCCTAAGGAAAATCCAAGGCAAGCTGCGAAACACTTAAGGAACACGGAGCCCCTCCCCAACGAAAAGGGTTCCTTGTTCAGGGCCCCGACTGTAAGCATAGGCAAACAATTCCCCCAAATTATGAACAATACTAAAAAAACGCCCCCAAACAACTTTCAAATATGTTGAAGATTCCTCCGGTAGAGGGACAGGCCCGATGTAGCGCTTGCGCCTCCTGCGCTTCCAGAGGAAGCGTGCGGAGATCTCCCAGCTCTGCGTCGGGTCCCCCCCCTGGCGGCGCCCCTCCAGCGCCGCCCCTGGCGCGCGGAGCGCGCCAAGGAAGGGGGGGGGGTCCAGCTCAGATCCGAGAATGACGGGCCTGTTTTCCACCACCACCATAAGTTGGAGGGGGAGGGGGTCCTCCTCCTCCTCCTCCTCCTCCTCCTCCTCCTCCTCCTCCTGCTCCTTCCTCCTCCTCCTTGCTCCTCCTCCTCCTCTCCTCCTCCTCCTCCTCCTTCCCCCCTCGAACTTATGGTGGTGGTGCTGGAAAACAGGCCCATCAGAGAAGGCCGCACACACAAACACACACACACACACACACACACAAACACACACACACACACAACACAAACACACACACACACACACACACACAACACACACACACACACAACACACACAACACAACACAACACACACAACACACACAACACACACACAACACACACACAACACACACACAACACACACACAACACACACAACACACACAACACACACAACACACAACACACAACACACAACACACAACACACAACACACAACACAC